AAGCAATTTTGTAAGTCAAAGGGAGCTACACGAAGGATGAAAGTCAAGAGGCAGGAGCGAGGCCAGTCTTGCACCTCGAGGGGAATGAAAAGGAGAGAGAAGTCTCACCAGAGGATCCAAGGTGATGCCAGCTAGGCATTAGCCTTCTCTTCCCAAAGCTACGAGGCCAGGCTGTACAAACAAGCAGTGTGAAGAGGATAGCTACACACTAGGGATGCGGTGTAGCACCTTCAGGTCTGTGCCACAGACTGGGGCTGGAGGGAGGATTTTGGAGAAGAGCTGTAGCAGGACTGTGCCCAGAGGAGCAGAGCAGGCATAAACACAGATGTGCATCAGAGGAGCCTTACAGGACACAGCAGCTGGCTTTTTCCAGGATATGTTCCCATCCCTGCAGTTCCATTTGAGCATCAGAAGTTCCTGTACTGCTGGTTACAAAGAAACTTCCTCCTCTTGGTTTGCTTGTTGTTGACATTCCAGATCCAGCCTCAGAGCACCAGGGACGTGAGATGACCACACCCCTTCTCACATGCTCCCCCACAACACGCTGTCCAAGGCAACCCCCTATCTAACACTAACTAGGTCAGGGAGTAAAGTGCTCCTGTGCCTACATCTCCCTGCTGGAGAATATTCATTCCTTATCCAAAGATCAGAAAGCAGCTTCAAGAAATGTGTTACTCATGTTACCCCATAGGACACAGAAAACGCAAACAGAGATCAGAAAGCGCCTCCTGCTACGGACATGCACTCTTGAGCCAGCATTACCTGTCACAGGATCAGCAGAACAGGAGGTGTCATGCCAGACCAAGATCAGTGTGACAGGTCTCTCTACCCTTATTTAAAAAAAGAACAGGCTAACAAAGGTTTGCTGAGCCTATCTGGGAGGCACACACGGATCTGAACTGTCGTGCTACAGCACTGGCACAGCAGTAAACAGGCATGTTGGCTTCTGTTCCAACAGAAACATTAGACAAAGTTTAATGGTTCTCAAACAGACTACAACAAAGGCTGCAGGGAAAAACATTTTATTTCCAAGCAGATTACAAAGAGCAGAGAATATAAGAGTAAAATTAAATTAAAAAAATAGTTGAGTGCATCTCTTTAAAATGATTTGTAGTGTGAGTTACTCACGGGGCAAAGCTACTGGAGAGTTCTGAAGGTCACTTTGCAGGATGCCAATCACATGTGCTGTTTAGACCTGGGTCAACACAGGAGGGACAGACAAGATGTATTTTGCATATAGGCTGCACACTCATTATCAAGCGAGGTTTTGGGCTGCAACTGGACCCTGCCTTTTTGAGACATCCCCTCAGCCTCATTCTCTCCTGCAGTTCCCTCGAGTTCTAGACATGGTTTATTGCTGCTGTAAGTGGGTTTGATCTGCCTTCCCGTTCTGATGAGCTCCAACAAGAAAGGAGAAGCAGGCAAACACAGCTGCCATGCACAAAGTTACAGGGAACGTGACTGCAGTGCTAAGAACAGAGCATCAGCCACGCAGCAAAGGAAAGCGACAAGCAGGGACACGGCCATCGCTTCAGAGATTTGGGGGCAGCATGTCAGCAAGACTTCTGGAAGAATTGAGATGTTCCTTAAGGTAGGAAGAGGTATAAGTGGAGAAGGGCTCTTTCTGAAACATTGGCATCAATGAAACAGGAGAGGCTGAATCATCAGGATAAGGTGCATTCCCTGTAATGTTTGAGAGGAGCAGCTCCAGCAATAAGATGGGGAGAAAAGCCCCATATAGGGTGGAAGACAGTTGATATCCCACTTTAACAGTGATTTAGGAGTCCAAGCACTAACTCCAAGTCAGTATTTAATTAATGTAAGAATATGGTTTGGCTGGACAGCTGCACAGCCATTCAGTGTCCAGCAGCATTCAGCCCAGCAAGAGGATGAGCAACTACAGTACCAGCAGTCCTCCACCCCCTGTACACTCAGGGGGCTCTTTTCTACCATTTCTGGATCTGCCCTTATCACAGCATAGGAGTATTCTAGGCCTCATCCCTTCTATGTATGCCAAGGTAGACAGTAGCCCTGATGCAGCTGAGAACAAGACTGTCTTAATTTCTGCCCTAGCAGCAACAGTGCAGAAGAGGATTCTTAGTCAGAGATCAGATTAAGTATTTTTGTATTGTCCAAGGCAGAACAGTTCTGGAACTACTTCAGACCTTGTGACCCCTCTGAAGTCCAGACCTCTAGGGGTGAGGCAGCCAACAGATGAGAGCCCTATTAAGTTCTCAGACCATACCCTTTATACACTGCTCTAGACAGGAGTGAAGAGCCACTCTCTAGTCTGCTGTCTGCTGCTTCAGCCATTACCACTTAAGAGGAAATACTTGACCTCTTGAAAGCAAATGAAAATCTAATGGTGCTGTGGACATGTGATAGAGGCTACAAGTTTCTTAAAGAAAGCAACACTGTTAAATGTCAAGAGCCTGGACAATACAGGAGTCTCATGTCAGAATGTGAGGTGCTTTACAACAGTCAGTCTCTGCTTTCTATGGTTCCTTTCATACCACAGTGACAAGATGGGCACAGTTCAAAATCAACAACACATGGTCTCTAGCTTGACTTCTCAGCTCTATTTATTTAGAGATCGATGCATTTTCAGCCTGTCTCATACAAGGCATAGGGCACGGAGAGTTCCTGTCAATATATACACGCATATAAGAGCAGTACAAGCAGTTTGGCACTCTCAGAGCCAAGGGGGAATGCCCTTTAAGCAGCAGTCAAGCTGGTTATAGGAAAGTGTTAAAAAGCTATTTTACATGTTTGACTGGGAACATTTCCCAGAATGTGGACAGCAACCCTAAGCCACAGCACTCTTCTGTGCTACTCTGTGCACATCTTCTTACAAGCCCCTACAAGGGAGCAGATCATGTTCTTCACTATCAAAGAACATAGTATTTATATTCTAGAAATACTGTACCTTTTAAACTAGCTCCAGAGAGACAGACTAGAAGCCAGATCCAGGAAAAGAATCCTTAAGTCACAGTATATCGATTGTCTCTAAAAATAGGGAATGAAGTTAACACAGTGGACATTCTGATGAGACAGTACAGAACAGTGCAGCAGTCCACTTCTGCATCAGCAGATCCTCTCCTATGTACATGCAGACAATGAGAAAGGAATGGAAACACTCCAGTCCATCAGGACAAAATCAATCATCAGGAGATCTCCACAGCTCACCATGTGCCTAGTTTCCCTGTTGTTAACCAGTATCCTCCAAGAACTCTTCCCCCTACAAAGACTTGAGATCATCTTGCAGTTAAGAGTAGTACGGAAAGTGCGCAATCTAGAATTTTAAGGTAACATGGAATTTTGTTTCCCCAGTAAGCTCAGCTGAAGTTCCAGTTTGTCCCCAAACTGCAACTGCCCTCAAGTTCTGTCAAGTATTGCAGCTTCTGTTAATTTTTAGTGTTTAAAGGTGGCTCTCAAGGCAGCCCAGTAAAGCAACTGGTACAGTGTGTATCTGGCAGATTTTCTAATATCCACTGTATTTCTGATGGAGATAGCCAAGGCAGCAGGGTTTCCAACTCTGCTCTGATGATGGGACAAACTGCCCAAAAGGAAGGGAAAACCACTCTGTGCATGCTTGTTGGGCACACCCTGTGCAGCAGGCACATGCAACTGCTTGGAATAGTGGGAGCCTGCCCCAACCATGTCCTCAAAGACTTAAATAGGGCCAAAGATGGACATGCCAGTCACTACAATATGGTTAAAGGAGTAGAGGCTTCTGACAGCTGAAGCAGTACTAGTGATCCCAAGAGCCACCCTAGAAGGGGGCAACTGCTGGCTCCCAGCAGACAAGCTAAGGTCACAGTACCTGCTACCAACACTACACCCACCATCTTCCCATCTTACCCACTAGGATCAGGGCACTGATCTGGGGCTGTTTTCCTCTGGCCTAGGTCTGAGGGCAGACACTGAGCTAAGAGTCTAAAACAAAACAACAGTGCATTGCTACTTCACCTCTCTGCAACACACTTGAGCACAGAGTCCTGTAGAGGGAACAAACTGCTCATACTGACAGCTAGCTCAAGCACACCGGCTTCCTCAGGAACACCAATGTCAATATGAAGCATCAGGGGCTTGGGAAGTATCTCTAAGCTGCACACCTCAACACTGCTCACGAGCACAAAGACAGGGAACACTGGCTACTCTTTATCAATTTACATTCTGCACAACCAACAGAGAGGGCACACCTTCCTTCTCTCTTATACAGATAGGTGCTGGACAACAGAGGCTTCAGGAAAGTTGCTTGCCTGTACACAAGTTTAAGTTCTTTTACTGTAATATATATTTAAATATTTATCTGTGTATTTTGGAACAGGGAAGGGACATGAGGTGGAGAAGCAGGGAAGACAAGTTCAAGAAGCAGAGTAATTTCTCTGCATACAAGAAGCTGATGGCACAAGTAACAAACCTGGCAAGTGATCTCCCATTTCAAGCACAGCTGGCTACCTGCTGGCTTCAAAAGAGCAGACTATTTGTTAATGATATAAAATACAGCAACCATTTAAGATGCAGCAAGGCAAGGCTACAGAGCTGGGGATTATGATCATGAACAATGCCAAAAGCTACACAGCTGTGTTAAAAACTGTGAAAAGGCTGTTAAATGGCAGGAGTAAGCCATATGCTGCTCCTGGAAGGCCTTTTCCCTCCACTACCCCTCCATCATGCCGCTGTTGTGATGCATTTGAAAAGGTGGAGAGAACGAGATTTGCCATGGAATAAAGCCACAGAACATTAGGACAGTCTGATCTGGTCTCAAAAATCCCATGTTCCTAGCCTGGCACTGAGCTTCCATCAGCAAGCAGACATTCAGGTCCTTCAACAGAAGTGTATGCCCTTCTACCTTCATAAGTTGTAGGGGTGAAAGAAATCCAGCAGAGTTGAGCTGGAAAGCATGAAAATAACCAGTTTGCATACTGATCTTTGTATAATGACCCCCCCACCCTCACAGCTCACTCTTCCCCAAATAAAGACACATTGTTCAATGGCATGTTGAAAAGACGTGCTCGTCATTCTTAATAAACAACTAGAGTAAGAATACATAAGAGAAACAGGGTGGTATCTTTATATGATACACAAGTGTATGTTACAAGAATTCCATCAGGCACAGAAGCCTCAAGGTTTAAGGCCTCAATGTTAGGCCAAAAAAGAAGAGTGTGGTAAAGTTTGTACTTTTAACATCTAAAAATGTCACTTAAAGGTCTGAATAGAAATTGTTGGTTTGTTTTGTTTTTTTTTTTGTATAAATCATAATTGCAGTTCACTCTCTCCTCTTTCTTCCAAGATAACAGCAAATTAACGTCCAAGCACAAGAAAAGATGCCTGCCTCTCCTCCACTGGCTGAGCAGGTCCATCCATCATTCTGTGCCCTCTAGGCTGCACGTGCTCCAAGGAGACAGAGGCCCCAGCCAACCAGGCCCATCCTGTAGTTCATGTTTTCTACATCATAAAAAAACCCAGAGTCAACCAGCAGCTTTCCATAGCTCCCAGCTCGCAGGGGATATGCAGCCTCCAATGGTTCCAACAGTTTGGTGTGTTGGGTAGGATACACAATGGGTAGGTTTTCCTTTAGATTCTTTTAAAGAGAAGAAGCCTAAAAGGGCTTCATAACTACACCAATAAAAAACCAAAAACTTAGGCATCTCCTTTAGTGTAAAAGTCTGTACAATTTCTCTTTGCTTGTCCCTCCCCCATCACCCTGCCCCACCCCATCTGAGCCACGAAGGATGCCTTAGTGCATGGTGCTGGCATTAGCCACGGCAAGAGCTTCCTGAATCTCTCGTATCACCAGGATCCGGGTGAGCATCTGCTCCATCTGCTCTCTGCTGATCGGCTGGATAGAATACCAGATAGGGCTGTTGGGGGCCACCACTGGCTCCGGTGTCAAGTAAAATGTGTCATTCCGGCCTTTCACACTCTGGGGGCTGTGTGAGGAAGATCAGAAATAACCAGACTAACAAAATATCCTGGAAGAGAGACACCACCACTGTCCTCACCCCAGGCTTCACAAATCCTGACAGTGAACATCTGGCTGATGACACAGGAAGGTAGAGATACATCCAGGGGCAACATTCATCCCAAAGTTTTAGGACATGCCAAGGTTAAAAAGCCATGGTGAGGACTACAAGAAAGTAGTTTCTATTTCACACTGGTAAGCATAACACACACAGCTTTAAGGGTCTTTCAGAGTTAAGAAAGGATGGGGTATTCTCACATTCAGGCTACTTGCAGATCCATCCGTGCAGATGAACCATTATATTAAATTTCAGAATCATCGTAATTTAGAGATGAGTCCTTTGTGGCACCCTCCAATCTCCATAGCAAGTCCTTATTTTTGTTCAGAAGCTGGTTTGAATAGGACCCTAATCCTAGCTTCAGTAGTGGATGCTTCCAGATGACTTGTAACTCACAAGCAGAAGAACAAGTTCATGCCAACACAGCAAATGTCCAAGATTAAGAGCAGCCAGTTCACAAATCAGGATTTGTCTCTTAAATACCCCAAAAATTCAATTTACATGCCACCAGAGTTAATCCCACTCTCTCACATCAACACCCCTCTCCATTTAAGTAAATTTATGGAAATACAGAAATTGCCAGCAATATCACACAGTGCTAAAAACTAGGCCAGGCACAGGGTGCAGCTCCCCAGTCACAGAAAACGAGCACCATACATAGAGAAAAGAGCTCTCACCATTTGAAGAGGTAGAAGTCATACAGCTTTATCGGACACCTCAGGGGGTTCTCTGGATTCTCAGTCTGCTCTGCATACATGTCATCTGTAACTACAAACCAGCCCCCCAGAAATCTGTCAGACACCGTGTAAGCACAGCACACTGAGCAGTACCATAGAGCCTCAACACTGCAGCACCTTGTCATCATACAAGAACTGGCCAGAGACATATGGGTGTTCCAGGGCAGAGGTACCTGGCTATAAATGCTTTACGCATTACACAGAGCTTGCTTTATGCTAAGACTATTGAAGATCACAACTCATCCATATCCTTCTTTCCAATTTTCCTCTACCAGGGCACAAAATGAGGGAAATCTCACTACTGAGACTGCAAAGCCTCAGCTGCATCCTGTGCTTTTAAGAGGGTACATTGTACTTACATAGGAATTATGTATGAGTTCACATGAATCAAGGTAAGAGAAGCCCTCCCAAAGAATTTTCTCCATCTCTTCATAAGCACTTACACCCAACAGCCTCTTTGCCCATAAAGAAACAAAACAAAATTAACAAAAAAAATTATCCTTAGTTCTTCATGAGTCCCACACACCTCAGTTAAGGTATATCCCCAGGGTTATGATTAGAAGGTACTATCCTCTCTTGGATAGAATGCATGGAAAACACATACTGCCAGGCTACAGGTAACCGACAGAGCCTTGATTCCCTACCTTCAAACATCTCCAGGTTCATCCACTTCTTCAAGCCCAAATAAGTAAAATATTCCCAAAGAAACCTCCTAGACACTACCTTTCTGTCCTGTCTGGTGCATGCCTGGAGCCTTCATATAGCGGATACTCGTGCTTTTATCCTTAGGATTAGAAGGGTTCTTCTTGGTCTGCCTCAGCACCTTGGAGAAGGCCAGCTTCATGTGCTGGTCTACTGTTTTCAACAGGAAGTATCTGAGCAGCAAGAACAGAACGCAGCACATTCAGAGGCAAGTAAGGGACATAGTCACAACAGCAAGGTAGTTATCTTTAGTCATCATCAGCAGGCTGAAGCTCAAAGCAACCACTGGGCTAAGGACTGTTCCAGCAGCAAAACATCCAAAAGCCACAGGTTCAGTCAGCCCTCTGCTATCTCACTTCCTTGTCATACTGCATCTTCTTTGTCTGATGAAGCTACAAGTGGGCTCTGTGTGCAACCATTTGAAACTCATGATTTTGCCCTACACAGTGCAGCAGTTTACACATCAATCCTGTTAAGGTATCTGAAGATCTTTTATTGCCCAAGATTCCCTAAGACCTGAGTACTTACTTTGTGTTAAAAAACATCAGTGTAGTGAGCAAGGTGGAAGGGGAGTGAGCTCCAAGTTGCTTACACTCCCACAGCATCTCTTCTGTTACATGACTGGAGAGGATATAACCTGCAATAATCAGAAGTCAGCATCATGCCAGGGGACACACACAACATGAACACAGGCAGCATTTTACAGTATGTAAGTACTGGAGAGCATATATATCTTAACAGAGGGAGGAAGAGGAGATTCTCACTAATGTCCAGATTCAGAGCTCTGCAAATAACTTTTTAAATAGTAGGTACAATTAGGAAACACTTGTACATATCCATCAACCTCTAGTTGTGGAGAGTATGTTCGTGCAACATATATCCCAGCCCATAGAGAAAAGAATATGCACTTAAACAGCTTTTAATTATTGGCTCAACTCCAATGCGGATGCTTTTAATCCAATAATATGTGAGAGCAGGCAGGCCAGTGTAACAAATCAGTTCTTGGCCCTGTGCACAGCTTCAGTCAGCGCATAGTGCCAAGTGATGTCCTTGGACACATGAGTAATCCTTTGATTCCCAGATTTTTTTTCCCCTTTGTGTAGAAGAAAAATACTACACTTCAAATACACAAATAAACAGGAAAACAGACAGCAGTATGAACTCTGGGGTTTATGGAATGTCAAAGCACTGTTCAAACAGCCAGACTGGAAACAAAAGGATTCCAAAACTCATGGTACTACTTAGCCACCTAGCCTGTAACATCAGCTGCTTTTCTGAACATAAGCAGTAATTTCTTCACTGATGTCCAAATATATCAAAGGAAATAAAGCAATGAGAAACCAGGTTTCCAAGCTCTGAAAATTCAATTCTTATCTAGTTCTCATACAGTTCTCTGTCAAAATCTGTCTCTTCTGGAACTGCTCCCCCCACCCCTGTTGCCATGATCTCCTAAACGAGGCTGAGCTGCAACTGAGTGCAGCACTGGACACTTAAATCTCACACTGTTTTTCCTTTGACACTCAGTTGGTCCTGCAGACAGTATCCATCTGGCTACATGGCACTATGATAGTGCTGTATTATCTCCCGAAGAAACAATACATATTAGAGGCAGGTACCACTTCAGATGCAGAAACCTGATTCAAATCAAGGATCAGCTGGCTGCCAAGTAAGCTGGTTCCATGACACTACAAAGTCCCCACAATGTGCCTTTTGATTGGTGACAAGTGACAGACAAATAATGCTATATGACAATCAGGATTAGAGCCTGACAACTGCAGTAACCCCAGCATTCACTGCAAACACAACGTTCTTCTCCCTGACCAGCATTAGCTAGCCTAGGGATGTTAAATACTTCAAAAGGGTTGCTATTCAGACTATCACATGCTGTAGGTTCAGTTAAAACATTCCAAGCTCTGGAAAGTTTTACAGTTCTTAAACTATAGCCCTTACCAAGAGGTGAAACACGGGGCTGTATGTCCTTAAGAACTTCATGCAGCCATTCAGTGAACCGAATATAGTAGAGATCTGAGAAGATGTCATCAACTCGGCCATTTTCAAAGAGATACTGTAAGAGATTCACAACACAGGCCAGTACAGTGGAAGCAGGTGTGTTCCTCAGACCAGATCTCATTCTAAGGGCCCACATCTTCAGTCAACCATTTTACAGCATAGCACTGGAGACTAATATAGTTTACTTGAAGAGTGAGGACTCTTGCACCAAGGCAAATACAAGGTAGGTAATCCCCATTACTACCATGGGAATGCCATGACGGAAAAAGAAAAAAACATTTACAAAGTAAAGGTGATTGGATTTCACCTTTTATTTCAGGTGTGTTCACTTCAAGTTATTTCACATGACTACAGGGCACTACTTTTTCAAGTTAACAATAAGGATGCTCTATTTCCCTGTCAAAGTTTAGCTCTGTTCCTGCAGCTCTTCCAGAAAGCTCATACTTCCCATAGCACATAAAGCTAAGTTCTTGCCTGTTAAAGCTTCAACTAGATTTAAGTCTTGACACTGACAACTTCTTCAAACATCATCCAACCCTTCTCTCCCCACAAAAAAAAAAGCTAAATGGATTTAGTATTTTCACTGATACTGAACTCAGTTACTCACAAACTTAACTCATAGATGAAAGCATTGCTTGCACTAAGGACAGGCAAATCATCTGATGTTTTCAAGGTTTTTTAAGCAGAGACTTTTTTCATATAAAATTGTTGAAAAGCTTAATAGAAGCCACAGTCTCTATTTTTATACTCAAGAGTCCCCCTACACATGCTGACAACATGGACAGTTCTGCAGCACATAGAGCTGTCCCATCCTACCTTCTGAATACATAGGAAGATATAGTAGAGCACATCTGGATCATAGGGTTCACCATCACCATTCCGAGCTTCTCGTGTCATTAAGCACAGACCATAATTCAGCTCAGCCACAGCAGAAGAGATGAGATCTTCCTGGAACCTCAGCAGCTGACGCCCTGGAAAAACAAAACAAAGCTATATTATGTAAGTCATAAAGCCATATTATTTCCTAACATTTCAGGAAAGATTTCCCACATCTCCATTCTATCTGGCAGGTCCAGCATTACCTCATTCTCCCAGTATAGTAAAGTAAGTTGAAATAAATCCAGATCTTAGGCTGTCAGAAACAGTAGAAGAACAGGCAAGAGTTTGTTAGGAAGATCCTCTATCCAACCAAATACACTTCTATTGCCTTCTTTTACCATGTCCCCAGTGAAATGCTGCCCTGCAGCAACAGGAAAACAACAGCTCCATCACTATTCTACCAGCTTGGCCAGACAGTTTGTCTGTGCACCACAGTCATGCAGTGCCCTTTTCTATTGCTATCAGCCCAGGTGCTCAAGGGGGCTCAGCACAGAGCAAGCTAATACATGTCCTGTGGCAGTGAGAATACACAATTATTACTACTGCAGAGTAAATTAAAATTTAAATTTAGGAACAACCACTGATTAAACAAAAGTTTTCCAGAGCAATAAACACTTAACATTTTAGTAATTCCTAACTCTACTTGAAAGGAAACAAAGGCCATGTTGTCACTACACTTACTTCCAATGGGTGCTAGTCTATTTTGAGCTTCTTTTTCCAGCTCTGCATTCTTGGTCTGTGCCCAGCTTTTCCACACTTCAAGACCTTCTTCTGGCTTCAGAGAGTTTGGAAGTAGAAGTTCAGGTGAAGTCTGTGGCTGTGGCTGTGGTTCAACTTCAGCAACCTGAACAGTTTGAGCCTATGAAAGAAAACATTTCAGTTTACATATACACTGCAGTATGCAACAGCTGGTCAAAAAACAAGAATCCCACAATACCTGTAGCCCCAGGATACCAACCTTCTGCAACACTCCCAACAAGAAATTAAGCCAAGGAATGCAACTTTTGCTGTCCAACCTGAATTGGTGCTCACAAAAGAATATTCTACACTCCAAAAACTCTTTCAGTTTGAATGGACCGATCTATCTTGAGCTCACTTGTCACTCTGACTCACCACTGAAGTCTGTGTCACTACAAGAGCCCACAGAGACCATCATCCCCTGAACAGGAAGGTGCCACCAGCTTTACTCACCACTGCTGCTGCACACCTAGACTGCCCTGCAGAAGGTCCTGGGTACAATCACATGCCATACACCACTGGCATCCATCCCTATCCAGACTCCCTTCTTAAAAGTACGTAACAGGTACACAGAATAAATATATTCTGTTCTTATCATCAATGATGATTAATTCACTTGTAAAAGGTATAAAGCAGCAAGACTAGAATACTGCATTGAAACTGAATTGATGTTTTGATGCCCTGTTCTCAAAATACCAAACACTACTAATGGAGACTAGCTACTATTGTGTGAAGAGTGACTGCGTGACTTATTATAGACCTAAAGCATCTCCAGACGCTTTGAAAATTTACTTTGCAGTAGGATCTTAGGTCACCAAGAATTTTGATCTCAAACTGAAACTTAGTTGTCAGGCAACCAATAGCACCAATCTAAAACCTGCAGCAAGCCCTTCAGCTGCACTCACTCTGCATTCTTCACTACAGGTTCTCAATTCCATGCCACAAAGTCTCAAAGCTACCTCAATTAACAGCTTTGAAGACCTTAGTCGAACTCTCACTGTCACCCTGAATGTTACAGAAATAGCAAGTCTAATATCAAAACAGTTTTGCTTTTTTCCTTCCTAAGAAGCATAGAGACTTTTAGTACCTGTACCTTACTTAGTATAAAAAACCAACGGATTAAGAGGCAAAGTCTGCAAGAGTCTTAGACTGGAGCCTTCCAACTGCCTTTGGTTGGTTTTTTATTCTCTGCATCAGCTCTTACTAGCTTTTTGCTTATCAGCCCATGAAGCTGTAGCACAGCTGCAGAGAGACTGACTGAAAAGGCCCAGCTTTAATCAAAGCAGATGGTGACAAAGTTGTAAAACTAAGCCTCTCTGTCTTAAAAAGAGTCCAAGGGTGAACTGACACCTTGTCTTTGTAGCAGCCAGGACTGAGCCTCTGCTTTCCTCCAGAGTTCTGCCACATTACTCTCCAGAGAGCTGAAAGCTTTCCAAAGCCAACTCCCTCCATCAGCCCAATCCAAGGGACAGCTTTCTACCCTGACCTCACAGACACCTTGTCCAGTGTGAAGGCTGTACATAGGCTGACATAAATCTGCTGAACTGGCATATGCTTCTTAACAAACTTATATTTTTCACAAATAAAGCAAAATTGCTGCAACTTGCCCAGATTCCCTAGAAGCACAATGCCAGAGGACAGCACAAGGCAGGCAGGCAAATTCCTTCTCAGTTTCACAGTTTTGAGAGGGTCAACTCCAAAAAGTGTGATGTTCACCTCTTGTAGCTTTATTGCCCCCCTAGAGAGAGTACATCCCTCCTGGAATTGCCTATGTATTTATATGTATTTAGGGTATGTTATTTTAAATACCTTATGTACACTAAAGTACACTTGATGCAGAAAGTTTGCTCACAACTAGTCAGATTTCAATACTTTAGCCAGACACTGGATCTGCTGTGGACTCCATGTGCAACATAACACAAAGTAACAGATAATGACTAGTACATACCAGCACACCTTATTTGGCTGCAATTATCCCTGCCTGTCTACTGCAACCCTGGAACGGCTGAGGAAAATACTGCAGATCCCAGAATACCTGCTGTAAAGAGTCTGGCAATCAGTATGTATATATTAATTTTTAACACAAAGATCAAGACTACTTTCTTTTGGAAAGTTTTGAATCCTGTAACCATGTACCAACATTCTCACATTAAAGTCTTATAATCATGAGGAGTCAAGTGCCCTGTGTCACATTCAGGCTTCTGGGACAGATGCATCTCTGCTTCCCAGACATCAGCTGTCTGTCGGCATGCTCTTTCTCCACAACATTTGTAAGCTGTTAATCACAAACTGAGACCGAGACAGTTTTAACTTACAGAGCAAGTGACTTGTAGCTGCTGCTGCTGCCCCTGCTCTTGGGGCGTGGGCTGTGGCTGTTGCTGCTGTGGGTCCCATATGTGCACTGTCTGTGCTGTATTCTGGTATGTCCCTGCCACAGCCTGCACTGCCACTGGAATGTGGATGTTGCCATTCATAAACTGTGCTGGAAAGATCGAATTAGCAAGAGTCTGCACCACTTCCTCATGAGAGTTCTTCACTACTGAAGTACCTCCCACCATCTTATCCTTGTCATCTTCCAGCTTCACTGTAGCCAGTGTTGTGGGTGAGCCACTGACGTGGACAGCATTATAGGCCTCCTGAGGGATGGCAATGTGGGTTATGTTTTGCTGCTGAAGGTCACCACGTGGTTGAGCAGAGTAAACAGGGATGGTCCACGTCTCTCCAGTGGGGCTAGTAATGGTCCCAGTGGCACTGTACAGGTGGGCACTGTCCACTGTTAACAAGTCTGGCCTTAAAGAGACATAACTTTGCTGCTGGCCCTGAGGGATGGCCAGCACTGTGGCAACTGGCTGCCCTGAAATAGCATACGATACAGTAATAGGCATATCCACTTTACGTTTCTTCACTGGCTGAAGGACACTCGCAGAGCTGATCCGCCTCTCTCCCTCTCGTGGGGAGCCTTGTTGAGAAGGTGGGGGTGACAGTGCACCAACTGTCTGGATCTGGATCTGCTGGCCACCAGTAATGGCCTGTCCTGCCACAAGCTGGGCCTGGATCTGCTGGTGTTGTATGTGTTCCTCCTGTAGCTCTGCAGCCTGGATCTGTTGGGCAGTCTGCACGTGCTGCACTTGGATCTGAGCTGCCTGCAGCTGCGATGGGCTGGGGCTCTGAAGAGACTGACTCTGTATTGTCTGGGATGCCTGCTGCTGCGCCTGGCCTTGGATCTGCACTTGGACCTGTATTGGCTGCTCCGAAGCCTGATGGACAGAGAGCTGTGGAGAGAGCTGCTGGGCGGAGACCTGCTGCGGTGACTGCTGGACCTGAACCTGAACCTGCAACGACACCAAGCCACTAGTTAGAGACCAGCAAATGTCAGTGATTCAGCAGAGACGGTCTGTTACTCAAGATCTGTGATCCGGGTCTTTTACACTCACTTTCGATTACATGTATTAATCCATTAATAAATATTTCAGGAAAATGAAACCAAGTTATTCTAGAAGTGCCTGGTTGGTAACAGTGATACAGTAGATCTGTTTGCTCAGCATTGCACAGGACTCCCAGCACGTGAGTTACATCTACACCCTCCAAGCTCTATGGGCTCAAGCCAACAGATACCATTCTTGGAATCCAAGAGTTTTCAAAGCTGTTTGCATTGCTAAAATGTTACTTTAGCACAGGTCTCACAATACCAAGACTTTAGAGTCATTCACATTACAATCATAGGAGCTTGCCTTATTCTTACCATGCTCCAAAGACTGTTTTACTGCTGCCCATCCCAGTCCCAAGATGGCCACAGGACCACTTGCTGGTGACAGGCAACAAGAAATATGGGTAAGTCGAAACCAGCGCTTGACTCTGTCCTCATAAAGCACAGGAATATTACTTTGAAACCTATCATTAATAGTAACACTACTCAAGCAGGTGTCAACACAGAATATGGCAAGTTAACCCTCAATCTTTGTCATGCATTAATGACCTATGCTGCAGCATGTTTTTTTAAACTCTAGAAAAACCTCTTTGGCAATGTTAATTAAAACAACCCTTTTTTCATTATTTAGTTATTCCATTTAATACCATTTATTGTCCAAACTACTCAGTTGTATTTTCTAGCTCATGCACTTAGACAATGCTGAATAACACAGTCAAAATCTGTTGACTTGATTCCAAACCAGTTTCTTTTCTTTTAGAGGGGAAAAAAAAAACCAAAAAAAAACCACACTCTCTCATACTAATGTTCATTTGTTCAAGGTCTGCCATAATACCTAGCAGAAGTCCAGCAGCACACTGAAAGCCAGCAAAGGTAGCCCCCAGCACAAATTTCAGGTCCCAATAGCTTCACATGCCTCGTCCAGACACTTCACTTTTTCTCACATTTACACAGACGACCTGTTACATTTGCCTTGTCCTAGAAGCAATATCCCAGGTACTCATGATCATCTATCTGCTTCTCTAGGCTTCATTAACACCTTATCTTGAGGGAATTAATTACTTAACACCTCTTCCTGGAGCCAACACAGCAACTTATTTAGTTGCAAGACTAAATGTCTTCCTACTCACAATTCTCATTTTTTTCTACCTCACTTCCTGGAGCCAGGCTAATGCAGCATTTGCAGAGAGACAGCAGACTAGCCAGACTGACAACACCAAAAAGAACTACAGTGAAGGCCTGCTGTGCACAGAAGCTCATTTCCCAGTGAGACCACTGCTAAGAAGTTTTGAAAAATGTTAAGGACTCATTTACTCCCAATTAAGAATTGCTAAGGAAAAAACTGGGGCATCAAAATGCCCCACTGGCAGGCCAGATTTATAAGTCACCTCCTGTTAAGAATTAATTTATTTCCAGGAAGAACAGGGTATAGTTCCTTCTGGGAACTCTGTGAAGTGTACTGTAATCCAGATGACGTGGTGACTCTGTAGTAACTTCCTGAAAGGTAACAAGAAGCATGTGACCTTTTGTCAGCATGACAGCTAAAAAGCTGCATCAATGCGTGATTTGATCAGGCAGTCAATTGAAAAAGATGAACTCACCTATGGGATGTTTCCTCAGTTCTATCTGATACCGTTCTACTCTGGAGCATGACTACTGCCTTAGGCAAAGAGGCCCAAACATGGATCCCAGGTAAGGAAGGGTTCAGTTTAAGAAAGCCAGTTGCAATCACACCCCTAAGGCAAGAATTCTCCAAAATATTCCACTTTAAAAATAACTAATATGGTCCTTACTATTAATTTTAAGTCCTTGTTCAAAAGATTACCTGCAAGGCAAAGGCCAAAGATTAAACAAACTTCATGCTTTATTGCACCGATATTTTCAGTTTCAGACAAGAAACATTTGCTTTATCTGCTAGAATTCAAAATTATGTTAAGAGGTAAATGTGTCATTTGTTCTGTACTTCTGTAGTGTTTTCAGAATTTGCACAGGTTGACTGAGAGCACTTTAAAAGCACCCACACCTTCTTTCCACAGAAAATGTTACATTACAGCTCCTGTGAGCGCTGTAACCTATATAAAGGAAAGACTTTTTTCTTTTGCTAGCAGTAAGAATTCAAAGTCTCCTTCTGTGCTGAAACAATTTTATCACATAAGCATAACTAGAAAGGTAATGGAATTGGTTTAAGAGACATTGTTGGCAAGAGGCATGGTATAAAACAAACAGAACAAGACAGCATTTGCTCCCTTCTGCTCTTGTAAACAGATGGTTTCAATTTGAGGGGACCTCCACTGATCATCCAGTCCAACTGCCTGACCACTTCAGGGCTGTCCATAAGCTACAGCATGTCATTCACAGCACTGCCCAAATGCCCCTCAAATAACAACAGCCTTGGGGCACCAACCACCTCTCAGAAGCCTGTTCCAATGTTTGACCACTTTCTTGGTAAAGAAATGCTTCCCAATGTCTACTCTAAACCTCCCCTAGCACACCTTTGAACCATTAACCATTTTGGAGCCTGAGCCTACAGAAAGTCAGTGGCAACTTCCCCCACTTTCAACAGATGAGCAGCCATGGCCTGAGGCCCTTTGAAACTATCCAAGTACTAAACGCTGACTCCTACAACAGGGATGTCTTGCTACTGCTTTAGAGTCCACCCTGTTATTGCTAACACCCAAAGAATGAGTCCAGGCCCAAACAATATGAAATCAAACTCCAGAATCACTTGAAGGTCTCCATGTTCCAAACTGCAGACATCATGCTTCTGACTATAGGATGGTCCTATTTAAAGGCATATCAGAGCTCTACCTGCCACACATTAAACATCCCCCATGAATTTACATATCCACTTTTAATAACTGTATCTTGCAGTGGGATCCCTCCCTACTTTCAAGCAGGTTGTATCCAAGAGTGCAAGAAGCATCCATTTCGGATTTACAGGCTTTAACCTGGTCTGAGACCAGAGGCTTCTTATATTGACCTCATTGTCCTTTTTTTTCCTCAGATAGCAAATTAGACAAAGAATTACACTAAGCAGCAGCAGATGACTTTATAAAAGACTCTGTACAAAGGGGAATGTTTTAAATTTACAGGCCAAGACCAACAGGGCAGACTTTAAATCTTCACTTTATGCTGAAGATCAAAGCAAAAACAAGTTATGCTGGCAATTCCTGGGTTATTCGTGCAAGAAAGGAAAATGCCAAGTTACCAGTACTGAAATACTATTTATTGCCAAAGGTCTGGATCCAACAGCATGAAAGAATGACCTCCCAGCAGGCTACCATGACACAGAGAAATGCCTTTTCACCATAAAGTAGATGGAAGCTGGATCAAGTACTAGCTGCCTAGAAAATCAAAAGCATCAGAAACCAACCCTTTATTTTAACAGGAGAGCAGAACTAAATTCCCTTAAAGGAAATATTCTGTCACATCAAGCCCAAAAACATATTCTGTCCTGAACTGAGCACATGCAAAGAGTAAATAAGTAACCCCAGGATCATGAGAACATCTGAAGCCTAGTTGCCAAAACTTTTTTCCTACTGGTTGATAGACAAACTTTCAAGTAGGAGTCATAACATGTCTGCCCTATGTGGATTCTCTGACCAAAAAGGAATCAGACTTAGTTGTTTCAGAACTGCAGTTCTGAAACAACTGAGATTTTCTTTGCTTGTCAATTCTTTCATCTGCAGACTGACTGGGTTATCCAATATTTCCCAAAACCTAACTCTAAATGAGCACATACAGCAACTCTTTCCTGACTTTTTTGATATGTCCCAGAGTACCTGACAGGCTCTTAAATGCATCTCTTCACAAAGAGATCTTTGTTTCTGAAGCTATATGTAAACCAGCAAACAGCAGTATACACCAAGAGCCGATCTCCAGGGCATGACTGGAGATGCACTAACATGTCCACACTAAACCTTCCAGAAGGCTATTTCAAACTGAGTTCTAATCTTGCCCACCAGCCAACCTTGACATCATCAAAACACAAGCTTGACATCATCAAAACACAGAACTGCATCTTACAGCTTAGTTTCATCTGGAGGGAACCCCAAATTACAGGCTCCAAACCTGCAAGAGATAAGAGGGGGCAGGTGGCCAAGTTGCTGCAAGAAGTATGCCCCCAGGAGTAAAGTAGATGCATCTCAAACCTCCCACACAAAGTCAAATACTTGGGAAAAAGTTAGTGAGAGCACGAGAAGAGTAATCTCAGGGTTTTTAGCCCTATTTAAGGACAGAAGACTTAAAATACAGTTCCTTTAACAGCCCTAAGCTAAAGCAAGCCCAGCACTAAAAACTAACACTGTTACAAAGCATGCCTTCTAAAGTTACACCAGAAAGTGAACATGCAAGTACAAAACAGGTATGAAAAGTGTAAGTGAAGAGTAAGAGAAAAGACTGATCAATGAAGTAGCAGGAAATGTCAGAACTTGTTATTTAACTATTTTACCGGAAGTACTTTGCTATCTAAGTAAACAAGGTCTACGGGAAAGGCAGAAGTCAGCTTTTCAGAACAACTGCCAGACTGACTCTCACTCCAGGTTTTTACTCTCCTCATTCATCAACATCAGAGAGAAAATTCCATCAGCTAAATTAGGCCTTGGGTGTGTTTAAACAGTTACACTATCAAGATTATGCTGTCAAGCTGTACACTGGGGAGGGATTTAGGTCTAAGACAGTTAAAACACATGAACCAAGGAAAAGCAGCTTACCTCTCTAGCAGAAGCTTACTTCCATATACAAGTAGATGCTACCTCGAAAACACCACTCTTGACTATAACCACACTTCCAAGTGTCCCACTCAGCCCTAGGAAACACTAATTAATACCTGCTGCTACCCTAAAATCATATTGGCATGCTTTTCAAATGTAAGCAAATAGGAACTCTACCTCCAAGCTAAACTTCAAAACCAGTACAGAGGCAAGAGGAAGGTACATGCATTAGAAGCAAAGGAAAGATGTATTCTGTGCAGAGCCAGAGATAAGACTTTTTTCTATGCTATTTAAGGGCATCTTTCCCTGACTTGTGTCATTAATAATGTCTAGCCTCTTATAAAAGTCTGAAGTCACAGAATAGAATGAACAGTAAGCACATAAGGAATTAAGCAATTAGAAAGGCACAAGTATTAACTGAAAGATACCTTACTCAGGTATTTAACCATTTCCCATATAGTTCTGTGATCTTGCTCACATGTAGCAACCTCCCCTCAAGCCATGCCCAAGAAAATCTTGCCACCCAGACATCAGACTGTTCATAAAAAGCTGAAGCTGAAGATTTTCTCCACACTCACCATAAGCAAAGATACTTTCTGTTCTCTGATATTCTTTCAGTTAAAGCTTCTTGTGTAAGGGGCACAAGAGGTTCACTGACATCTGCAGAAGTACCATATTTGGGAAGCAAGTCAGCACTAAACACCTCACTGGCACCAACAATTCAATGGCCTCAATGCACAGGACCAACAAGCAACAATCTCACCAAAAGCAGAGCTGATAAAACTTTACTTGACTGGAGCAAAACACAGACTTTCCTCGCCACTCCCTGATGCACAACAAAGTACGATAACTTGACATACTAAACTCCTTCTGAAGGTCACTTATGGCACCCCTGTGATACTGGGCACGAAAGGAGCTCCAGGACACTTTAACTGTAGAAATGACCAGTGTACATAACCCAACAGTTGCATCCACTCATCCTGTAAAATAAACATATGATAAGACTTTGTTGAACCTTTTGGGCAAGAAAACCTCAAGGTGACAACTTTTTCAAAGAAAAAATTTATTTTGCCAGAATAAATAAAAGCAGCAAGCAGTCACACTCTGTCTTTAGTTGTTCACAGCAAGTAAAATCCAGGATGAAACCTGAGCACTGTCTATCTCTATGATCGTAAGATCATCAGCACTTGCAACTGTGAGGTCATCTGACTGGTCATACTGTTAGTCACCTTCAGCAGCACTGTCACACTGCCAGACATAAGCATAGTTATTCAAAGGGTCTTCCACTGATTTGAAATTGGATTAGCAAGAACTAAACAGATTACCGAGTCAAGTACCAGGATGACAAGTTTAATCAAAAGCTAAGAGGCTTCGGCAGATGAACAAAATTCATCATAATACAACACAAGCAGTATTTTAGTACAGGGAGCCAGCTGGACCGGGTGCACGGCTATGGTGGAACACTGTCACTCCCCAGAGTCACAAGAAAATCCAGCTTTATCCAGAAGATGTGCTCTGCCACTGCTGCCACAGTGACAGTGCAGAGATAAGTGAACACTCAATCATGGGTTTAACATAAATTATGTCTCAATAAGAAATCCTGAAAGACAGAAAAACATTCATGCAAAGGGGTAAAGATATTCTTCTCCACCCTATTCTTGCAGAAAAACTAAGGTAATTCTGAGCTAGCTGCTAAGATACACCTGAGTTCAGCTGCACTGCTTGATACACAAAAGCTGCAGCCACATCTAGCACCAATTCTGTCACCTAAAGTGAGCAGCAGGGTAGGCAATACAAACAGTAATGATGATCTGTACAGATAGGAGAGCAGGTATCTAGAAGCAGAGGCATGTCAAAAACAAGACGAGAGTAGAAAACATTCTTTAGGAAAGTTGTTGAAATCTTAATTTTCATGAAGCTTTTCATATTCAGGGTACAGGTCATTCCATTCAAAAATCAAGAACTGGTTTCTGGCAGCAACTCCATATTTATTTACAAGGCCAGATTATTTTCCTCTGAAGCATATGATATATGACCTCCCTCCCCATCTCTGTAACTAAAGACTTGCAAGGGTCAAGCCTGAACATTGGGTAGTTCTGAAAGGAGGCAGCAAGAGGAAAAAAATGAGAGAAGAAAAAAAAAAAAAAAATCCTTTTGGCTTTTACAATTGATCTGGGGGCTTTCCACATCTTCAAGGATGAAGTCCTCAAAAGCCAACCCTCCTAGCTCTTCTACAGAGAAGCAAAACTTCTTCCAGAAAACATACTAGCTGGAAAAGCCAAACCTACTCTTGATCAGCTTTAATAGCTCATGCAGAGATCCAAGTCATGCCTGAAAGACTTCAGGTTTTTGTTCTTCAAAAGCCTTTCAATACAAGTTACTGCAGGCCAACAGGTTACAGAAGTCCCGGTTAAGCATTCATTTACTCAATAGAGAGTAACTGGAGACAAGTTACCAGTGAAGGAGGTAAGTTTGTCTTTGTGGGATAAAAACATGCAAGTGAGCTGTTGGCACAAGTCTACTGCACTGCAGCAAGTACACGCTACCTTATCTCCAGTCATTTGTGACTCCATAACCTCACTTATAGTTAAAAAAAAAAATAAATAAGAGCTCGCAGTTTTACGTTCTGCTACAGAAACCAGAAAGATTCATATCTCAAGCATATCAGAATGACAGCTATAGCCAGAGCTCAGCTGTTTAGAGATTTATAGAAAAACCTTAGTAAATGCCCTGCAACCCATGAACTCTTCAAATTACAAAATATATCTGAGGACAAAAGCAGTTTCCTAAGTTATAAAATTGGTTTTTTTTCCTCTGATACTGGATTTGCTTACTTAAAACTTAATAAAATATATAATGTAATATCTACTTAAAAAAAAAAACCAAAAACTTTCCACTGTGCAAATGGGTAATCTACCTTGACACATATGCATGCTTTAGAATTCCTTTCCTGAAATGTATCTTCCCCTGGTTCATACGCTAAAGCTGACTCTTGCATTTCTCCCGCACTTAAAAGTCAGTTCAAGAACAACTTTTAGAATGTTCAAGTAAAACTATTTAAAGATTATTGATTTTATTAAGAAAAAAATAATCCTTAAGGCAAACTCCATCCCACAGCCACCCTGAACAATCAGTCAGAGGGGGTTGGTATTTATAGCAGCTTCAGAGCACAAGGCTTCGGGAGTTGTGTACATGCCAGAACTGTCGACCATTTCTCCAATAGGTGACACCACTCCATTGCTATGTACGTGGCTCCTCCTACAGCAGGGCTCGAGGGCGGCACAGTCAGGAGAGCCAATTTACTAACAAATTCCTTAAATAAAAGGGAAATATTGCTGTTCTGTATAAAGTTAATTTGTCCTGCCTCTTAAGTACTTGTCTGAGGCTTAAGGTCAGACAGCAGCTCTGAACATCACTCCATCACTTAGCAATTCATATAGACATTCAGAGATTATTTCAGATGCTTACCTGGACTTGCTGGGGTTGCTGAACCTGTATCTGCTGCTCTGGCTGAGTTTGTTGCTGGATACTGGTTGTCACAGGACAAGCAAGTTCAAGCAAAGACCCAGCCACCTCTGTGCTGTCCGTGTAAATGCAGTTGCCACCCTGCTGATACACCATTGTGGTAGTGGCTGTCTGCTGAAATTCCTGGAGGGCTTCTGGCCCCTTGGAAGCAAGGGAGTCTAGAAACTCCTTCATCCTGTGCTGGGGGATCGTTCGCGCCTTCACACGGATGTATTCTTCAAAGGAAATGGTGTTCTCCAGAGAATTATTCATATTGCAAGGTCCTCAGGGTTCCTTAAGGAAAGAGAAAGTAAAAGTCTTAACTACAGCACTCCCTTGATGCAAGGACATTCTTAACTCCAGTAACTAATCTCTCATACCAAGTACTGTACGAAAACTGGCAAACATGCACAGCCAGATGCCCAAGACAGATGCTTTAGTTTTATGAGGCATCTTGTGCTACTACACTTCTCAGATTAACCCTCGGCAGCTCAGGGGAGTCTGAATGATACCCAGGTGTGAGGACTCCTCCTCCCAGAGCTCACTGCCATGTAAACTCTCCCAGCTCTATAATGCACCCAGACGAGGCAAGTCCTGTACCAGACAAATCCAGTCGTACATTCCATTTGTTTGCAGCATGCACTGTTAGCAAGAGAGGCTCAGAAATCAATATCTGCGGCCCTGCTTTGCAGCCGCAGAGGTGGGAAACTGAGCAGAGTGTTCTATCAGGCCGTGCAGTTCTATTCTAGGCAGCTAATGGGAAGCACAAGAGCAACAGATGCAGCATTCAGCTCATTGCTATTAGGACTAGGACAGCCTCATCGATTTGAACAGAGCAAGCAAAAGGAGAGCGCTGGAATTGAGATATTTCCTCAAACTGAACTACACACATAGAGAAGCAGAGCTCTGCAAATGACAAAGGCAACTGCAGCATCAGTTCTTGATCTTCTTTTAATATAGGAAGAGGTTAACATGAAACATGCCGTGCGTGAAGACAAAAGAAAGACAGAAAAAGAAGTTAAGATGATCAGGGCGGAAGTGAAAGCACAGAAAAAAAACACCACCACCAAAGATGACTCCACCTGAGAACATCAAACAGCTCTAGGGTATACTCTGATAGCATTCTTCTCTTATTGACTTATCTTGTTTAAACCCACAAATTGTTTTCGCAGTGAGTATACTGGTTGTTTCTAAGGCACTACTTAGCCTTGACAGAAGGCTGAAATAAATACATTTGAGCTATAGCATCACCAGATACTGAGACCATCGTGAAAAGATGTGAAACAACACAAGATCAGGACTAGAAGAAGTGATTCAGCACTACTAGATCAAGCTGCATAAAGGAGGAAAACCAGACAGACATCACTATGTACATTATGACTGCAGGTCTAAAGAGAACAGGTAAAAAAACCACAGCTTTATGCATACTTTCAGCATGATTTAACAAAATAGAACTGAGACAGGGTTATGTTTGAACATAGGACTGCAAAAGTCTGCCTGAGTGAAAATTCTAGGCTTTCACTGGCACTCAAGCACACTGCACAAGTCCAGTGCCAGTTATCACCAAATCCTGGGAGAGCTGAAGCAAATGCTAACCCCTCTTCACTGTTACGTGACAGCAGTCCAAACATACAGTTTTTGTTTACATGGAGGTTCATGGCTAGTGCATTGGACTAGGCTCACAGAGAAAAAAAACTACTATCAAAGGCAAGGGGAACCCACGTGAGGCAGCCTGCACTCTATCTATGGTATCTGAAGTCTTTAAGACACATTTGTTGTCATATGAAATTTCCACAGAAGATATTCTTAAAATATGCAGCATGTTTAGTGAAAAGCACAGGAGAATAGTGTTCACACAGCAAATCCAATAGTTCTGTAAATACCAGCATACAGAAGCTCCTGTAGAGCCCACATCTGGACAGAAAAAACATTATTTCAGAGACACCAATCTGACATTTTCAAGCCCACTCTGGGGGATAGAGCCAGTAAGACTACTCACTCCTCCAGGAGCCACCCAAGAGTACCCTACACCTTTACAGCACACATTACTAACCCCTTCCCAGGTGACCATATGGCCATGGTGAGTCCAAGGAACAATGATGTTAATGCATCCACAAGGACTCACCTAACTGCATGATGATCCATTATATACTCTGAGGTTGGAAAACAGATTTGGAGCAATTAACTTGTCCCAGTCTTCTTCTTGGAACTTGCAAGTATTTGACTTCAATACTACAGTGAGGTTTTCAGAAGAGCATCATTATTTTCCATGTCCACCCTGAGATGCAGATACAGCTTTGAGAGGGAAGACTTTTCTGAAGAATAAGCCTCAAGGATGACATGCTGGGATCCCAGACATGAATGCCACAGATGTTCTTTGACAGCCAGCAGCTGCTGCTGAATTGGATGGGCTCACCTCTCCCAGGTGTTCCCTTCCTGCTCCTGCACTGTTTTTTATTATGTTGTAACAACTCAGGGAATAGCTATCCACCTTCTGTTAATCTTGTAAAAGGAGAGAGTAAGGAAGTCAGCAGGGCCGCTGTTTCCAATGGCAGCAGTTAGCCCTCAATTGTACTTTTGAAACTCCAACCTTTCTTTCACAAGCTGTATCATTCTCCCACAGAAGCGACCAGAAGCCACAAGAACCCCAGAAGCATAAGCAGCAGAGATCCGCCACCAAACCATCACCAACCTCTTCTGACCACCAGGAAGCAGAACAAAGCAACCACTAATTTCTTAAATACAAATCCTTGACCCTGCTCAGTTGATCCATTTCAATTAGTTCTTGTTAGCATCAAAATCAAGAGCCTACTAGGCCAGTCTTCCCCTATTAGTAAATCTTCCTCTCACACAAGCTCACACAAGCTGTCAGAAGAAATTTCTTTAATTTCTTCTACCATGGAAAAAAAAATTCCTTTACATTTTCTTAAAGTTACTATACTAATAGCCACTAAGCTGAGCCCCTGCAGTATTCCAAGTGCCAGGCATGGACCAGAGCCCCACCATGCCACAAGGCATCTGTTCCTGCCCTAAAAAGCAGTAAGATCCTCCCTGGGTTTTCTCTACAGCAGCAGTTACAGACCCTGTAGGTAACAGTGTCTCCCAGCGTCAGTATCGTTCATATCAGTTTTAAGGCTGCTTGGGATTATTTAACTAGAAGCACTGAACCACCCAAAACTGCACTTTATAAGACCCTACACATCAGTAGAGGTACCGGGTTCAGAGAAAGATTCAGAAACGTAACGCTGCACACACAGAAATTTTACTTATTAAAACTAAACCAACCTGCATTTATGGCAGAAAACCTCTATAAGGCTCTAGGGCGCATTCAACAGGCTTTTGTAGGGCAACACACACAGCTTGCTGCTGCAGTCACCACTTTTACTGTTAGTTATTAAAGCACACTAACTTTTGCATTCCATTTATCCCACAGACACGCTCTGGAAACAGCAAATGCCCACCCTCACTGGATCTCAGCTGCATGTTTTAAATATTGCATTTTAAAATTAAAAAAAGAGCATCTAGGCAATAAGTTTCTCAAATAAAGGAAGGCAACTCCTCTTTGTGCAGCATAAGTGCATTTTTTTCAGGAAGTAAGTTCAAGAAATTCTTTGAAGATTATGAGCACATACGGTTAGTTGATAAAACTTAAGACTGAGGTTACTGAAAACACACACACAACTTGCAGCATGTGGACAATCTGGACTCACCAGTCACCATGTTGCATGTATTTCTGCTGCTCTTGTCCTGAGCTCTTAGACTTGTAACGTTCTGGAGAAGACAGAACAAAGAAGCCCTTTCCATCCCCAGTTCCTCTTTCTTTATTAAGTCATTTTATTTTTAATATGTATTCCATTAAGAAAAAAAAAAAAATCAGGAAACAAAGATATGATCATCCACGCAGCCAGCAGCTCCTACTGAGGAATTGCAAGATGCCCAATTTCTAACCATCGTACCCCTCAGCCTGGTGGTACTGAGAACGACTGTGTGAGCACATCTGTCACAGAGCGACGTGCGGCGACTGGCGCGGCACGGTGGGTAACACCGGAGTTACTGGCACACAGAACTTAGAACAAGGCAGCAGCAGCAGTGACCGTATCCAGAAGCCCCTCCGCGCTCCCCTCCGCAGGTGTTCCCGGTGCTGCCCCGAGAGACAGCCGGGAACGCTACGGACCGCTCGGCCACCCAGCCAAGACGAGACGAAGCTCCGTATTTGGCCCTGAGAACGTCGGCCGCAGCTCAGCCTCTGTCCTGCCCGAGCGGGGACGCGGAACCCATGGGGCTTCCCCCGCCCGCGGGGACCCGGCACTGCCCCAGCCGCTCCCGCAGCCTTTGTTTGTCGGCGGG